ATGCCCAAAACTGTACAGTACGGTCATAAGAAGCAGAAATATTATCATCAATGTTAATAATTCTGCTTCTTATGCCCAAAACTGTACAGTACGGTCATAAGAAGCAGAATTATTGACATTGATGATAATATTTTTAGTGTATTTTTGTGAGGCATCTTCACATTACAAGGTACAGTTTTATTCAGTTTAGGCTCAAAGTATTGTTAAAGCCTTTAGGAGATGATTGTGATTTAGTGCTTGTTTAAATAACGTTTTCAAGGGTCTGAGGATTTCATTCAATTTGGAAACATTGCAGTGAAGATAATTACTCTTTTCACTGAGGTGGTGATGGTTTAAATTTCCTCCATCATTCCCGAGTAATAGAAAGTGTCACAACTGTCGTGACACACTGCTTTGAACACTCCCACTTATCCTTGCTGAATTAAAATAGACCCAGAGGGGAAAGAAAAAAAAAGTCTTTCTTTCCCATGACCACCTCTGCTGCTGGTGCAAATGAAAATGCCCTTCCCAAAATAGATCATTTTTACCCTTCAGATGTCCACTTTTATTTTAAGCCCGGTGACACCATGCCATCTATCACACTCAGCTTTTTCAGATGTGAGCAGCCCGGGGGGAAAGCACTGATACCATGCAGGGGGTGGGGTGGAGTGTGATGGCGTGCTGGAGCTGAGCTGTCAGGCTTTCTATGGTTAGATTTCCACTAATTTAATCTCAGAGCAGCATTTAAACAATTTCTTTGAGTAAAGTGGAAGTTGCTCTCCGTCTTCGGAGTAAACAGTGAAAATTGATGCTCTGCCTTTCCAGCTCTTCCCTCAAATTACCACTCGACGTGGCCAGATATCGTTCTGGATTATTGTCTGCCAGGAAAATGCACATCTAAATGCTTTTATTGGATGTTTTGGCTGGGTGGAAACTGTGCAAAGTTATACCCGGCACTTTGATCATCTTGACCTGGAAACCTGATAGTCTCCCCACTTCACAGGCGTCCCTGACACCTGGGAAACTGGATCTGGCATTTCTTGATACGCGATCTGCGCCGCAGAACTAAAGACTTAACGTCTCCGGTTTCATAGACGGCAAGCACAGTGTTGGTGGCAACCGGAATTTCTAGGCTCAGACTGGGGTCTTTGTCCCCCCACCCCACTACCCTCCTACCCTCACAAGACAACTGAGTCTTAAAGGGTTGGAAGTATGGRTGGGAAAAGAAGTTTAGTAAGATTCTCAGAACTTTGTTTTGCAGTGCAGAAAACAAACATGTCAGCATTTAAAGATGGATGTTAAGTTTCTCTTAATCCTCAATTGAAACTCAGATGAGTTAATCTGCACAGTTTTGTTTTGTGTTGACCTGRTTTCATAAAGTCAAGTACAATCAATTTTACCTCTATAACTGATTATTATTTATGGCCAATCCAATTCAGGATGGTCAGCTATTGTTAGAAAACATAAATGTTGCTCTAATTTAGCTAATTTTAGCAAACATTTTAGATTTCACATATTTTTGTTTTCCTGAACTAGCTGTTTTGCTTGTCAAATTAGTAAATTTATGTGTTGTTTTTTTTTTTTTTACGTTTCACAACTGGTAAGTTAATAAATGCTCAGATCTCTCCCACAGAAAACCAGGTCAAAAAATATTGGAACAAAAAACAAACATCACTTTTTAGTTATTGTGTCTAGAGTCCATCAGTTTTTTTTTTTTTTTTTTTTTTAGCTTTTCTGGGTAATTTAAAGTGATGACAGTGCTGCTGGTGTTTGAAGTAAACTCCACCGAGGCAGTGAGTGATTAGAGAAAACGTTGCTCGGCTTTTAAAGTTCACCACCCTTCAGAATACCTCATCGCTCCTCTGGCCTTTGATCAGTGTTAACATCAGGGGTAACCATGACAGTTTATTTTCTGCTTCCTCCAAAAAATAAAAAAAAAGACCATTTGTGTCAGGGAACAATCCCCCCCACCCCTCCTTTGGCACATTGGCACACCTTAAAAGAAAAATGTCAGGGTCAGGGACGGACCATTAGCCCAGAGTGACTCCTTTTTGTGCTCCTGGGCCCACAGAAAACACCTTTTTCAACAGATCATACCATGACACCGACCACAGGCTTGACCTGGACCTCGACTTTTAAGGGATTCTCAAAAAAGGGAGGGTGGAGGATGTGAGTGACTGACACCTCAAAGGGCTAATAAAGTATTCACCTGCTTTGCACGGCTGTATTGTAATAGCTTGTACATTAAATTAACTACACGGTCACCATCTATTCACTAGTATTATGCCCTATTCTTTTTCACCGAGGTCGCTCCCGTGTTGCTGCAAATGTCATAGTGCTTTAATGAGAACTGCACTGTACTCACAATAGAAGCTTTTCAGCCAGATTAAATGTATCACTGTGCTGAAACTTCTCTCCCCCCCCCACCCCCTTTTGCCCCTATTGTGACACTGGTTTTACAGAGGAGCTTGTTGCTGAAAAACAAGGTTAAGAAAGATCAGTATCAAAGGAGGAGTGTTTTTGTGTGGCTCGCAGGAGAGTCTCGCGTCAGGTTTCCACCTGAAACACAAAGGTGTTTTCTTACCTGATTTGTATTCATTCACACAAAGAGTGGGCCTGCCTCTCTTGTTTCCAAGTAAGGAGAGTCCAGACGAGACTTTTGTTCGCCCTATCATTGGATACGTTCATGTTGCTTCCTCCAGTGCGAGACTTGGAGTCCAGCAACCGCTTTGTCCTAAATGAATCCCTTTTTTGAAGCCTTTTTTATTTTCATATAAATGTTTGAGCACTGCTGTTGATTTCTTTTCTCTTGGATCCAATGTTGTGTCAGTCATGTCCAGCTGTGCCACCTGAAAACTGTCCTGTCAGAATCCCAAACCCACAAATTACAAGTATGAGAAGGTTTCAGTTCGAAGGAGTCCTTCATGGCTCAGTCCCTCCTGGCCCACATTAGACTGTCAAGACATAGAAAACGTTGCCCATACGCTAAAACTTGTTCTGATTAAAGGGGCTATATAATATAAAATCAACTTTTTTGAGTTTTAAATCATGTTATAATGTTATCCTCTCATCAAAAACATGCTCAGAGTCTTGCTTTGACTCATTCATGCATGTTTGAGAAATCCTGTGCTGTCCTGAGGCAGCCAGGCAGGGAGCAAAAATGACCAGTTGGGACTAGAACCACCTTTTAGGATCAGCTCCGCCTCTGGGCTGTGTCTCCAAGCTGAGCTTCCTCACCACAGAGTACACCTCCCCCACACCCCGCCTGTGACTCCTGCAGGCTCTCGGCAGCAACAAAGCAAACAGCAACTGGTGAAAGTGAAACTGAAAGTGAAAGTGAAACTATCTGCTGAGCTCCCAATGCTACTTCTGAGCACAACCATTTTTAAATTCCAAATACCTTTGAGGAAATGTATTTTCAGATGCCAAGTAAGCTACACTGAGCTTCCATATCACAGCCCCCCCCCCCCACACACACACACACACGTGTTGAAATAGGCGGGACAAAAGTGGAAGGAGGTTCTTAAAGAGACAGAGGCCAATTTCAAGGTGTTTAGAAACGGAAATGATGAGAAGAGTTTATTTTCTATTTAAACATAAAAAACAGCATTTTAATAACAACTAAAGGTGACATAGATACTTTATTATGGTATAGAACTTAAATATATGCCTGAGAAACACATAACATTGCCCCTTTAATTTGTTTAAATCTTCCGCACCAATTAAACGGGCTTCTAACTTCTGTTTTAGGGGTTTTTCCTGACTGTGTCTCCAGAGTCGATCCTCAAGGTGGCGAAGCACGCTTCAGAGAACAACAAGATCTTCTGCATGAACCTCTCAGCTCCATTCATCAGCCAGTTCTTCAGAGAGCCTCTGATGAAGGTCATGCCTTACGTTGACATCCTKTTTGGCAACGAGACGGTGAGTGAAACAAAAACTCATTCTTTTAAAGATGTGTTTGAGTTTTTCCCATAATATCAGCTACATCTACAACTGACTGAAGTCATGTCAAATTGAGAAGACATGCCAAAAAAAAAAAAAAAAAAATAGCCATAAGGAATTTTATATATTTTGAGCTGCAGTTTGGTGTGGTAGCAGCTGAGAGTCAATCCCAACTAGGGCTGCACAATATTGGAAAAAAAAAAAACGACAATGCAATTTTTTTTCTAGCCCTGCAATTTATATTGCAAGTAAAGAAAGTACAAGAATTTTCAACAATTGACTTAAATAACACTTAATTACACTGCCATCCTGCCCTTTTATTGACAATGAACCTGTTTTCTGTATTTGAGAGTTGTTATTTTATTGCTTTCTTTTACTATGCTGGGACCTGAGACCGTGTTTCCTTCTATCATGTGCAAACATGAATTGCGTCTCTGTGTCGAGCTYAGTTTYGCTAAATATTAGCATTCATGCTAAGCCATATTTTACTTTTTCCCTCCTCATTTTCATCAAGCTTCTCGTCATCTTCCTCCACAGCTCGAGAATTCACTGACAACACTTCCCTAAAATACATTGCCATTATTGTCCCAGAAGTTTTACAAATAAACATTATTTTCCCCCCACACAAAGCCACCAGAGGAAGCAACCTGTTAAAATAAAGGCCATAACACACGACTGTKTAATGCAATGMGTTATGGTTTACATGTTGATTTAATTTGRCTACTACATTGCAGGACCTGTGATGTGACTATTGCGCACACRTACATTGCRATGACGATGCTAATAACGATATATCATGCAGCTTTAACCACAACACACACTCTAAAATCTAACAAATCATGCAAGACGGCTTAGTGGTTAGCACTAGGGGTGCACAGATAAATTGGCACCAATTTCCTTAATCGTGGGAGATCTGAGATCGGCTGGTACTTGGATAAGATCGGTGGAAAAGATCAGCTTCTCATCTACCTCCACAAAGGTCCCTTTTGCTCTGCTGGAACCACTACCTAATGACCAGTTAAAACAAGTTTGTATTGTTTCAAGTGTATYGTTTAGTGTTTTTCAATAAAATAAGATTGGAACATTAAAGGTATATTGTGACTTTATAACACTTGATGGTGTCTAAAAAAATCAGTATCGGACAAAATGGGAAACAGCAGGTCAGACTTTTTMAAGATCAGTGATCAACCAGAAAACTGCAATYGGTGCACYCCTAGTTAGCGCTGATTCCTCTCAGCAAGAAGGTCTTGGGTTCGAACCCTGGTTTTGACCTGGGGTCTTTCTGTGTAGATTTTGCGTTCTCCTCATGYTTGTGTGGGTTTTCTCCAGTTTTCCCCACAGAACAAAAATATGTACAGTAGGTTGCTTCAGGTCCAGGCCACCCTTAACAAAAGAGAGCTGTGATGGGATTTGCCTGGTTGAATTAAATTAAATTTAAAATAATAATAAT